CCAAAGCTGCTGAGTCAGTGTTTGGAAACTGATTAAGGGGCTCGGAGCCTTTTTTTCTTTTTTGGTTATTATCTGCCTTAGTCCTCTAAAGACATGTTCTTTAAAAAGAACACCCTATTTCTAGACGTAGGCATTTGTGATGTGCGTTCTGTGTTTCATGCTGGTCCAAATGGGGACGTGGGACTCACCTGAGTCCCAGCTGGAGCAGTTCCAGGGCAGCTGCCGTCTCCAGGTGGGGACAGTCTGCCTGCGTGGGAGGGCCTGCTGCAGGACTTGCTCACCATCTCGCCTCTCTCCTCTCCCCACAGGCTGGCCATGGGTGACCCTCTCTGTCCTGGGATTCCTGTACTGCTACTCCCACGTGGGCATTGCCTGGGCCCAGACGTACACCCGGGACTGACAGCGCTGGCCCAGGCCAGCTCTCCCAGCCAGCCTCCAGGGCAGATGGTGCTGCAGCCTGACCTCCTACTCCAGGACCCTCTCCAGGGACCAGTGCTTGGTCTGCTCGTCTCTGTGAACTTACCTCCCTGCAAGACAGAAGCCCGAAATGTCACAGGAAATTCACAACCATGCAGTCTTCTAACCTGGGGGCATATTTGCCTGATGAGTGCCTCGGGGTGCAGTGTGTAGGGTGTTTTGCCTGGCTGCACCTGATGATATTTTGGTCTAGAACCTAGTCCCAGTTCTCTCTCTGCTCAGAATTAAATGCAACGGACATTTCTTGATGGAGGCACAGAAATCCCAGTTAGCGATAGCCCCATCCTCCACTGGGCAGTATTTCTAGAATGTCTTGGTGTGGTGGCTAGAACCAGCCCTAGCTGCTTCCCACAGCTCCTCAGTAGGGAGGTGACAGCGACAGCTGTGTTTCTCATGACCTCGTCCAAGCAGACAGACACAGTGCTAGGGGCTTCTAGGAGTCCTCCTGTGATGTGAACTTCATCAGGGAGAACTATTTAGGCTACCTGTTCCTGAGACCTTCAGAAAAGTGTGGCTATGGTGGTGGCTCTGAAAGTTAATTGCTTACTCATAGAGTTTAAAAACCAGAGAATAGTGCTTGCATGAACAGATCCTGTCCGGCAGGTCACGGAAAGTAAGGAACGGGGGTGCCTTTTGTGGTCTTGTCTGCCCTTGCCATGCAAGTCCCAGCAGTCACGGGCTCCTTGGTGGTTTATACTGCTTTGTTTTGATTCAAATAAAATGAAACCTTTTATGTTGCATAGATAATTCACATTTTTTGTAGAATTATTTTGAGTATTTTTGAGGACATGTTTAAAATCCAAGCATACTTACGAAATGGATAACTGGACAGGTTACCAGTGGCTCCCAGTGGTAAGTAACTCAGAATTCGCCTTTGGGTTGTGTTTGGGGCGGGGATAGTAAATCTTTAAAATTTGGTTCCATAGTGTATCTAGTGGTGGACAACTTATAATATCTCAAGCACATGAATTAAGTCAGTGGGTGGAAGAGGTTGGACTATAGTTTGATCTCTTCTCTGTCCTTGTGTCTTGGCCACGGGTATCAGCTCAGTGAGATTTACACTCCCGGAGTACAGGGCCACTTTGCTGATGGTGTTTCTTCCTAAATGCTCGGCTTCGGGGAGAGATGGGAGGGGCCGGGTGTTGATGACCTGAGGTGGGCACGCTGTGTGTCAGCCGAGGCAGAGAGCAGAGGCTCGAGGGGGACAGGTGGGTGCGGGCAGCACCGGGTGGCTTCGCTAAGGAGCAGGACATGCGTGGGAGGGGACTCCAGAGTGTTGACCAGTGCTAAGGCCAGCACAAGCCTGGGGAGGATGAGCGTGCAGATGAACGCAGCAGAACATCACAAGCTGATACAGGTCAGGATCCATGGGCAGCAGGAGGGAGTTTGGCTGAAGTTTACTTAGAAGGAAGGGTTTCCCAGGGCCGAAAGGAGTGTGGAAATAACAGGGCAGTATCTAACGTATGTGTGTACACAATGATACAGGTTATTTTGAGCTCTTTATAGATCCCGTTTATAGAACAAGTAGACTTAACTCGTTACACTGCATTGGGAGAGCGGGTATATGCGGAAGGAACACTCCTGGCTTTCCTTGAAAGGACTATGAGATTCGGAATGGGCCTCAGAAGTTGGCAAGGGATTGCTGTTTAGCAGTGCACTTGAGGCCTGACCAGCCAAGGTGTGGTTACCCAGGATCACCGCTCCCCACCTGTAAGATGAGAATGCAATACTGCTCACATCATTTAAATGAATAAAATCTTGGAATTGCTTTAAATGAAAGACCCTCGAGGTGCCTTGGCACACAGAACCATTCCGGCTGAGGCACATCAGACACGTCATCAGCCCTGGGCAGCTGTTGGCATGGCGCTAGGAAGAGACCAAACGAGGGCCCACGGTCACTGCCAGCCCCAGGAGCCCCTGACCTTGACCTGGCTCTGTGAACAAGCCCGAGAACTCCATGCACCATCGCCATGACGATACCCGAGGAGCAAGCAAGGCATTGGAGGTCAGGTAAACCCCAGCGTTCTGGCAAATTCTTGGGACTGCACATGAAGACTGAAGAGCGTTATTTTTCCAGATTAATTCATTCGAAATGAAAGCAGAAACGTTTTGTTCTCTTAAACACTGTAGGCCTAGGGTGAAGATAGATCATACACACACACACTCACACAATTGTATTATCATCTCTATACTGGGAAAATCTCAGTTTAGAGAGAGGGAGCTTCCCCTAAGGGGCACTGAGGCGGCTCATTTGGTTTATTTAAAACAATAATGTAGCTGCTGACTAACTATAAGAAATGAAGCACAATACAGTGAGCTTGTCTGTTACAGGTATCCCACGGTGTGTCCGTCCATACAGCAGGGCTCACTTCAGCATGACCAGAGAGAGAAGCCAGATGGTCTTGACAGAGCCTCTTTTGAGATCTTTCTTCAGGGAAATTGTTTCCTTTTAAAACACATACCAAAACCAAAAATGCTTTAAAAAGTTGACTCCCATTTGGCCTTTAAAGTGTCGTATCACATAGTTCTGAATGACTATCCTGCTGACTGATCACAGAGGCCATACTCACTTATGATTTTGAGGATAAAGAATGTGGTGTTTTATGCCTTATGAGATGATGTTTTTTAAAATGAATGTCAGTCCTTTGGAATTTCAAATAATATCACCCTGAAATTTTTTATCCTCCTTTTCTGCAATGTACTTAAATAATAGGATGGGAAAACTGTCATTAAAAATTTAGTGTATTCATACTGTGGCCCGGTAAGATCAAGCAGAGGCCTGGATTTAGCTCATAGATCAGAGATGCCTCTTCCCTGAATGAAGCTGCCGTGTATATAGGAAAAGAGCTGATCTTGAAATGTGGGCCGATGGATGTTAGGAATTTAGGTTGGGGGCGGACGTTTGGCAGTTTAAATGCCAGTTAAGAAGCCCACATTCTGTACCAGAGTGCCTGGCCTTGAGTTCTGACTCCACCACTGATTCCAGCTTCGTGCTGCCGTGCACTGTGCAGTGGCTGGTGCTAGCTCAAGTAGTTGGGTCCCTGCCACCCAATGGGAGACCCGGATTGAATCCTGGCTGCCAGCTTCAAGCCTGGTGCAGCCCCAGCCATTGCAGGGGAGACAATCAGAGGATGAGCGTGCTCTCTGTATTTGTGTTGTGAATGTCTCTATGTATCTCTGCCTCTCAAATGAGGAACTCAGTTAGCAGTATTATGGAGTCTTGCCATGAGCAAGAAGCAATACCAATTAAAAAAACAGAATTGAAACCATGCCGGAATTTAACACTATTTAGTTTAAGGGCAGTAATCCTGTACCTTAATAGCTGCTGAAACTACCAATTAAGTAAAGCACTGATCAAAATTAATATTATTAACATCCAGTCATTCAGAAAAGATTATGTTCTTTAATACTTCCCTATCGTTTAGAGCATAGCATAATTATTTTATACAAATTGCAATTCAAATTGTTCAAAATAAAGTTCACTTCTAAGTGGGGATCAACTTCAGATGTTAAGCCAGCATGTTCTGTAGTCTTCCAGTGCCGCCCGATTGTTACGCCTTGAACATAGAAACGCTTGTTGAACTGCCATTTTGGTGGCATTGGGAATGGGGCCTTTAAAAGGTAATTAGCTAGGACAGAGATGAATGCCTTGTGTGGGTGGGGAGGTGGGGTGAGGGACGGGGTTAGCTGCAGTGGTGGGCAAGTTCTTGCTCTTGAGGAACCGGATTCGTTGCCATGGTTACGCAGCCCCCCCCCCCCCCCATGCTGTGTCTGCTCTGCACAGGCTTGCTTGACCTTCTGTCGCCAGCCATGGCAGGAAGCAGCTCAAGACCCTCACCAGAGGCAACCAGTCTTGGACTTGGCCAACCACTAGAACTGTAAGCCAAAGTAAAGCCCTTTCCTTTGCAAATGACCCAGTCTCAGGTATTCTGTGACATGAGCACAAAGAAGACCAGGGCACAGGTTTTGAAGGCAGGCTCTGTACCCTGGTATCTGCCTGGGGGCCGCCAGCTCCATATCCATTCTCTTGCCATGCCGTACTTTATGCATCATCTCGCTAGCTCTAGAATATTTTTTTTTTTTTTTTGACAGGCAGAATGGACAGTGAGAGAGACAGAGAGAAAGGTCTTCCTTTGCCGTTGGTTCAACCTCCAATGGCCGCTGCGGCTGGCGCACCGTGCTGATCCAATGGCAGGAGCCAGGTACTTCTCCTGGTCTCCCATGGGGTGCAGGGCCCAAGCACTTGGGCCATCCTCCACTGCACTCCCTGGCCACAGCAGAGAGCTGGCCTGGAAGAGGGGCAACCGGGACAGAATCCGGCGCCCCGACCGAGACTAGAACCCGGGGTGCCAGCCTGCTAGCTCTAGAATTTTAAGTTCTCCAGAAACCATGATCATAGTTGCTCTCCATACCCGCACTGCCCAAGTTCCTGTGAAGGAAAAGTATATCTGTTCTTCCTCACTCTGTCATTTTAGGTCACCCCAGCCAATTTGATGACTTACAAGGAAAGGCGAAAGCAAGCATCATGTATAAAATAGTTTATTACCATAATAAATAAAATTAAACTTTTTAATCTTTTTACAAATATCATTTGTGCTTGTTTAAAAATGTAGAGAAGGGCAGGAACATCATCCATGGAGGGTCCCACACGTTCCTCTTATCATACCCAAGCCACAGACATCCGGGGGGGTTCTGGCACCAACCTCAGCTGACCACATAAATGGTAGCAGCTCATTTGCACTTCTGTTTATTCATGCTTGTTTGGACAAAATGACAGATGCAAGAAAAAAAACTCAATAAAGGACTTGGCGGGACTCAATGGGAAGCGTGTTAATATAGGGAGAAGCGCTGGAATGACGAACCGCTCCTAAGGAGTGTCCTTGCAGTGTCCGTGAAACGTGGCATGTGGACAGTCTGCAGCTGATGCACCAACACAGCGGCTGAATATTAAGAGAATACATTCATCAGGCAGGGCTGCCTCCTTTTGAACACAAAAACAGTTCATATCCTGATACAAGATCTGTGAACGTCTCAGGGAACTACTGACGGGGCCACTGGATGACTCAGAAGTCACAGATAAGAAAGAGACAATGGCTCCAAGAAGAGGGTAATGTAGGTGGGGGGGCACCCCCAACATCTGGCACCTGCAGAATGTTCAAGTCCAGTTCTTGAGGGCCCAGAGTCTGATATGCTCGCAGGAGAGTGCAGTTTCACGTGAAACTAACGTAAGCTGTAGGTAAATTCACATGGATTCTTTTGAACCGTGAGTGGGAGAAATTAAAACTTGACCGTGAACACCTTCAGCGAGAAAACAGTGCTTCCTCCGAGGGTTGCCGTTGGTGCTGGCAGGACAGGGAAGTCTCCCCCAGGTGGAGGGCACAGGAGCTGGTGAAGGTAACCTTGACTGAAGGAAGTGTACGGGGCAGTCACACGGATGACGTGACAGAGAAGAGGCTGGCGGCCTCCCCGCAAAGCAACAGCAGGTGGGGCGGGAGGAAGGGGCAGTGGCAGCTCCGTCACGGCTGGAGTTCCGTTCACGGGTCTTAAGGCGAAACATCTTTATTGCAAAACATAGTACAATCTGTTAATCAAATGCATGTGAGCAACTTGTACCTCCACCAGGGCTCCAAAAATTTCCCAGAGATCAGTGCAGCAAGGGGAGACGGGCTGTGGCCCGACCGAGACTCCCTCAAGAGTTCATTCCGCCCCCACGCATGCGTGGAGGGGAAGGCTGACAGCCGGCCTAACACTGGCACCTGCCACCTGAGGACGTGGGAGAGAGAGGCTTGCTGCATCGGGCAGGGTGAAGTACGATTTTGTCCCCAGCCCAGCTCTCCCAGCTTTTGAAAGAGAAGGATTCCAGGAAAGGGGCTCGGCCTGCAGCAGTACACAGGATCAGAGACTGGGGGTAAAACGGGCCCCAGGAGTCAGCAAGAAGAACCCAAAGAAAAGAAAGGCCTGCTGGATCTCTGCTGAGATGAGAATAGCTTTCAAACGCTTGGAGACTTATAGCATTGTGTAGCAATGTATTAATGCAATTAATTAGTTGCATTAAGTGTGTACTAGACCAGAGATTCTCAACCAAATGGCTGCCTCTCTCGCCTGCCTTTGGCCACGCTGTCATGCCCAGCGGGGGAGGTCGGGGGATGGCAGCACACGTGGCTGGAGTCCGTGCTGTGCAGGCACGCACACCCTGGAGCATCCTCGTCTGGGACTGAGCCCGCTCCCCACACCTCCATCAGTGGAAGGAAGCAGCCGGGGCACGGGGACACAGCCTGTTGGGATACCTCAGAAACGGAAGCTTCTCTAAGAATGACGTTCAAAGGAGGGAGTTCAGCCGGCAGTGGTGTGAGACACCGGGCTGTCTTCAGAAAGGGGAAAATTGCCTCCAAAGGATGTGTGGCTCTCAGCAGGATTTTTCTGAAGTGCACAAGTTCAGTCTAAAACCTGAACCTCTGTTCCCTGCTCTCTCCAGCTACCAGGGAACAGTGGGATCTGGAGTCTGTGGTCCACGCCCAGGACACCGGGCGGGGTTGTGGCCACGCCAGGTCAACAGCACAAAGCTACCCGGGGCCAAGTGCAAGCCAGGCAAAGGCAAGGAAGAAAGGTTGGGCTCATTTTCTCTGGAAAAAAAAACTTTTTAAACAATTACAGCAGACAGAAAAAAAACGGAGAATACAAGCTTAGACGGTCACACGCTGCTGTCACTGTGACCCCTACAACCTCGAGCTGGGCAGATTTCCACAGCAGAGCCTGGGCCAGCTGATGGCGCTACTTTGGGGGTACATCTCCCTGGAAAGAACCCTGAGCTTTCGGGCCTACCTGGGGAGTTGTTTCCGGGAGGGATGCGCCAGCCCGTGACGAGCTGGACAGGGCTTGACACCAGGTAACTGGAGCCCTGGGCGGCGACGCTTCTGAAGCTAGCTGTTAGGGTAATAGGGGCCCTAGCCCTGCCCCAAAAGCAGGTCTTAAGCTTCAGAAGCTAGTTAGGAAGCATAGGAGCAGCCGGGAGTCCAGATACGTTATAGCTTCTGCCCCAGTTGAGGAAGCTGGAGGCCCCCCAGCTTTATCCAGACTCACAAACAGGCACGCCTCGGCCTTGGGAAATCACACCTTCTCCCTCGTGGCTAAATAACGTCCCAGCCCAGGGAGCCGGAGGCCACCTCTGCAAGGCTCCCAGGAGAGGCAGAGGGTGTGCGTGTGCAGGGCATTGGGGGCAGGTGCCCTCCTGGGCCCTGCTCCCTGGAGCCATCTGTGCTGACCTGGTCAAGTGAGGGAGGTCAGCCTGCCGTGCACCAACATCTGCGGGCCAGGTCCTGGGCTGTGTGGTGGCTGCTGAGCAAGACTGAAGGGGCAGGGGGCCTGCACAAACGCTGAGTATCTTTGGTAGGGCATGACCTGCGGGGTTCCCTAAGGACACCGGGACTCAGAATCTCAGTAGCGAAGCCGTGCCAGGGATGGGGGTGCCAGAGGGCCAAAGCGCAACCTGGATCAGTCCATGCTGTTGCCCACAGCCCTCGTCACACTCTCGCACAGCGGAGTGTTCAGGGCTGAACTCCCAGCCTTGCTAGGCAGTGTTTGGGGTCCCGGGACCTCTCTTCTCTCCAGGTCATACCCCTCAGCTAGCTCCACTTTGCTGGAAGAGACTTTTTTCTCTTTCGCTGGGCTGTTGCTGGGAAAAGCCCCAGTGCACGCACAGCCTGACCCCGTGAGCGCACTCTGCATCAGCCCGGAGGTGGCACAGAGCTCGCCCTTTCCTGGGCCCTGCCCCTGGTCCTGCGTGGAGATAGCTCAAATCCCTCCTGCTTAATTCAGATGACTGTGCCCCTCTCATCTTCCTGCTTCCTCCTGCAATCCTACTGGCTACAGCAGAAAGTAAAGAGGCTGCCTTAAAAATAAGGCCAAGCACGCTCCCGGCTGTCCTCGGGGGATACGTGGTGAAGAAAATACAGACGTCTGCAGGGCAATCCAAGGAGAATGAAAATGTTCAAATATCGCCATAGCGCTGGCTACGGTCATCTTGAGGCTGTGTGTGTGTGTGTGTGTGTATTGAACAAAGCAACTTGGGGCCCAGGCCCTTCCTGCCAATGCTCCATACCCTGAGGAATGCCACGGGAACACGTGGGAAGAGGTCAAGACGGAAAAGCAGCACAGCAACCCGCCACGGGAGGCTCACTTGGCTTCCAGAGCTCACGGGGGCCTCTGCAGCCTCGTGGGGGCCCAGGGTCCCTCCCCCCTGCCTCACCTCTCTGGGGCACTGAGACCTGAAGCTGCCCTGGGGAGGCAGGCACCAGCCGCCTGCACCTTCAGAGGCAAGAAGTGGACAGGATCCCCTTGTCCCAAGCTCCTCACCAGCGTCAACAGGGAAACAGGTATTTACAGGAGTCCAGGAGGGCTCCGGGCACTCCCCTGCCCACTCCCGCGCGGTGGCCACTCTTTTCTGGTAGTTTGAACCTTGTACAAATATCCCAGTAGTAAAAAATTACAAACGAAGGAAGTCCCCCGGAGCCAGCCTGCCCCTTCCCGGGGGAATGGTGTGGATCCACGGCAGAGGCAGCTGCCGGCTTGCAGGCTCGGGGCGCTGCCCCTCGCCCCGTCCTGTTCTCCAGGGAGAGCACACCTGCCGAGCCACAGGTCCTGCTCAGGTTTTCCCTCGGGAGAAACCTGCCTTGAAAACTGTTGGCCGCGTGGGCATGGGTGGTGGGTGGTGTCCGGGCAAGGGGGTCTAGGGTTTTGTCCTTGACTCTGGACGAGAACCTCTCAGCTGGCTCCAAACACGTCTCTTTCGGACCCTGGGGACTGGGGCCTGGAGATCTCGAACAGCTCCTGCGGGGACTGGGAGGACCTTCTGGAAGTTAACAGCCTGAGGATCTCGGCCAGCTGCTGCTCGATGGTGCTCATCTTGGCGTGCAAGGCCTTGATGTCCTCCTTCAGCTCGTGCTTGACCTCCAGGACGGTGGCCTGCAGCGTCTGCTCGGGGATGGGGTAGAAGCAATGTTTGACCTCTGCCATCACGGGGCTCCTGTCCTGGGGGCTGCGGGCCTCGCCCACGTTGTCCAGGCGCAAGTCGCTCTTGGTGATGCCGCTGTCGCAGGAGTCCGTCTTCTTCAGCGTGGCCTCGCCCGCCGCCTTGGTCCTCTCGGGCAGCGTCTCCATCGACTCGGCCTTGGACACCTTGTTCCAGTCCTCCCCCTTGGCGCAGGCGTCTCTGAAGCGGGCCCAGCCCTTGCGCTTGGCACAGTCGCCCCCGCCCGCCTTGGGGCCCAGGCACTCGGAGCCCGGTGCGTGCAGCTTGGCGTGGTCCGCCACGGCTGCGGCGGAGGCCGCCTGGAAGGCCACGGGCGTGGCAGGGCTCTCGCGGACCGTGACCACGCTGGCCTTCACCAGGCTGTGGTTGGCCGAGGCGTGCTCGGCCAGCACGCTGCCCTTCTCCACGTCCAGGTCGTCCAGGTCCCGGCCGCCCCTCTCCGCCGCCAGCCGGGCCTCCTTCTGCTGCCGGAAGCGCTGGAAGAGGCGCCGCACCGGGTGGTCCGGGGGCAGGATCAGCGGGGCCTCGTTCTTCCGCTTCATGCGCTCCTCCTCCTCCCGCTTCACGTCGCTGATCTTCCGGAACACGATCTGCAGGGAACAGACAGACACGCAGGGTGAGCGGGGCTGGGCTTCCTGGCTCAGCTGGACGGCAGTTGTCCTTGCCCACTGTGATTTTCTAATCCTGCCTCCCCGCGTCCCCTCCTCAGCCACACCCATCTGCTCCTGGGGTCCAGCCTGCAGATCCAAAACACAGGACTGAGGAGAATCCTGTCCACTTTGAAGAGGGTCAGAGAAACCCACTAAGGGTGTCCCAGCAACGGCGAGATGATGAGAACAGAGCGGTAAGCACGCTTTCTCCCACCGCTCTGAGTGGACTTGCTGGTGGCACGACCCTGGGCGTGCTGTTCTCTGGCCTGGGAATGGCCCCTGCTCTCTGTCCAGACCGCCCTCACAACAAACCCCAGCTCAAACAGCACCTCCTCCGGAAAGTCTTCCGTGATTCCATCGCACTCTGTCTTATCCTCCTGCCTCCCTTTCTGTGCTCATGGCGCTCGGTGCCTTGCTGTATCCTGGATCCATTTGTAGTAGAGATACAGCTACCCCCCCCCACCCCCCCACGTACACAACTGCTGAGACAGAGGAGGTGGGAAGAGGGGATTAAGGAAGGTGAGATGGAGGGGAGAGAGGGAAAAATGGCTGAGAAGGTAGCAGTACCCCAGGAGACTACGGCTTCGGAACTAAGTGCTCTGGCTCCTGCCCCTGCCCTGCATTTCTGCAGAGATGGGCGTCCTTCCGGTATCCCCTCTCCCTTTACATTCGAGCTAGGTTCTGGGCTTCTGTCCCTGGGAGGAGCAGTTTCCCAGCAAGCCCCCAGTTGTTTCCACGCACATCTGAACCCTTCTGAAAGTCCCAAGCTCAGGACAGAGCTTATCCCATCTCACTGTGTCCTACTTGTTAAAAGGAAACTTATCTCCTCTAAAAGAGCAAAAAGTTGCTTGTTTTTGTCACTTGAGTACTTCCAGCCTGGTGTCTGGGGGCCTCAATAAACACCTGTGGAATGAAGGAACACAGGTCAGCCGGTGAATCAGCAGGAAGGTGTCTTTTGCCCAGGAGAGGAAATCGAGAGGCCGCCGTCGCTGTTACGAAGGAAAGGGTCTGGATCAGCACACACACCGTTGCTTTACTGACTCTCTCGATAGCAGAGTGCCAGGGCAGCCCCTGAGACTCGAAGACAGAAGGAAGTTCTTCAGATATGGAGGAGCCGACACAAGATTTATCCCGAGTGGTTACGCGGCCGAGCGTACAGGGGGGCTAGGAAGGCTCAATATGTATCTGTGGGGGACTTCGGGAGGGCAGCCAGTGCTGCCTGGGGCCGTGGCTGCCTGGGCAGTGCCAGCCCCGTGCCCCATGGGCTGGGACTGACCCACGTATTCAGATGTTGTGGCTGCACGGCCAGTGGGGGCCATCCAGGCGCTCCCTGGGAGGGGGCATGGGTCTCTGGGGCAGCGCTGCCTCTCCTGAAACCTCCTGGCTTTGCCCGGAGTGTCGTGCCAGACACAGCCACTGCAACCCTGCTGTCTCAATCAACAGGCAGGTGGCACAGGGAAAGCTTCCGCACCCTCCTTTGAGAATCCGAAAAATGCAGCTCCTAGGGGACGAGGCACCCTGCTTGCTGACTTCAGTGGGTTTGGGTTTTTTGGGTGTTGTTTCTTTTTGAGCACTTAGTCATGGAGTCTGCCTCAGAGCTTCTGTGACCATGCGTTTTGACGAGCACTTCCGGTCTGAGTGCGTAGGGTGGCTGCGTGACACAACGATGGGCTCGGTGCCACCAGCAGCAGCCAGAGCGTCTCCCTGTCTGTCTGCCCCACCTGTCTGCCCGTCGTCTCCCGCCGCAGGGATGCGGCCGAGGAGTGCTGGGCAGGACCTCCGATTCGTATCTTGGGACACTCCCTGTGCCCAACAGGCTCTGGCTGGCCCTCTTCCCTCGTGACCTTCCAGAATCTGCTCCAACAAGCTTCCTGGACTCTCCCCCTTCCAAGATCCCCACAGCCTACGGTGAGAAGCAGCCCGCCTGCCCGTTGCCTCAGATGGAAGCTCCCTGAAGACTGGGTGTGGTTATGGGACTCTGTCTGCCTCGCACGCTGCTGGCGATAGAGTGCTCGGTCATCAAGAAATCAATGGCCGTGTCAGTGCGTGACTGATGGCCGGTGCCCTACTTACGTGGCCCACGCTAAGGGAAAAAAAATGACGTTCGCTCCCCCTGGAGCTCTGCTGCTGACGTCGGAGATGTGATGGGGAGAGAGAAAGAGACCAGAGGTGGACTTCTCTATGTTCAACGCACCGGCTCCAGAGAGGGAGTGAGTAAATAAAATCCTACAGGACTTGCACTCCCATTCATCTCCATCTCAGGCCGACCTCACGCTGAGTTCATCATCCCTGCCTGCCTGGTCTCATTTTTCATACTCTTAGATGAGCTCAGAGAGCTGATGTTTAAAGTAGCCCTGAGGTGAACCTTTTGTTTGTTTGTTTGTTGTTGTTTTTTGCAGTGGGGAAGACTGCTCATGAACTTTCCTTTTGTATAAATTTGGATCTCCCTATGGAAGACCGTCTGGCGCCATGGACAGAGCCCAGTGCGGTTCTGCTGCCACCCAGGGCAGGGCGCTGAGCAAGCCGCCATGCCCCGCCCTCCACGGCTCGACAGTGTAGCCCCAGGTTCCATCTACACGGCCCTGGCTTGCTTGCTTCCATCTTGCTGTCTTAGCCACTGGGCTTCCTGGTAAGTTGTCATTGCAGGAAAGGGTTCCAGGACCCAAAACCTCGTTTTAGAAAACCCCTTAAGAGGACATCGTGAAGGTGCCTCCCAGCATGCACAGCTACTGATTTTAATCGCAGGATGTAATTCACAGACTCGAGTGCATTCTCCTACTGAACTGAAACGTCTCAGGAGATATGCACAGAGCGTCCATCACAGGTTGTTGAGACTGAAGCTTGCTCAGTGGCGCACAGCTGGTCACAGCAGGACTTCAGGGTGTGGCCTGCTGCTCTTGCCACGGGATCAGGGACCCCCAGGCAGGGACCATTCCATCGGTGACCCTCTCATCACCCACCGGGGAGGCAGACCACCTCTCTGATCCTGGCCTGGTCAGGACACCATGATGGGATGAGTTTGGAGCCTTCCTGGATCGAGTCCTGCCAGTCCACAGATATAGGCAAAGTCTTCTCGAAGTTCGTGGAAAATGCATATTACAGAGAAAATATGCGCAGATTTCAAAAATTTGTGCACCAAAATAAGCAAGGCTGTGCAGCTCGGGACTTTCCCAGCACGAAGGGCTGAGATGGAGCCGCGCTCTGGCTTGCTCCTCCAGCTCACGTCCCTAAGCCTGGGAGGACCTTAATAAGTAAGCTTGAGCTGAATGGAGTTGACACTCAGATCCTTAAGCTACGGGGCTCTCTGGGCTGCTATCTCCAACTTTATTTGAGAAACCAATGGCTCTGGGATATGTGGTGACTCGGGATAATCAACCACGTCTTCTGCGTTGCACCGAGAGAGGGCCCCATCCTCAAGTTCCAGCCCAGATGAGGTCAAAGGGGAGCAGGAGTCCCTGCAGGGTCACTGAACAAGCGGGTCCCCGCGGTGCATGCAGGGAAAGACAGGCCCGGGAGGGGGACAGGCTGCTGGAGTCCTGAGAGCACTCACGTGGGGGCGGCACCAGGCAGGAGCAGAGATGCTTCAAAGAGCTCCACCGGGGAATGGACATCTGTACCTAAGGTCACTTGTCAGTGGTTTGCATAGTCAGGCAAGGACAGAAGCAGGAGTCATAGAAACCAGGGACAACCCAGAAAGGAACTGGGGTACTTTCTCTTGGATCCAAACACACACACTCCCAAGGCTGGGAGCAGAAGAGAGAACGCATGCTTGGCGTGGTCCCAGTGTGGCCTGACCCAGGGTCAGCCATGCCCTCCCTTGGAGGGACCAGGTCAGTGGTTCTCGAATCTGGCGAGGGTCTTCCCTGCTGGGGGGGAATTCCCTGGGGTGGGGGTGATGTCCACAACCAGGTCTCGCAAGAGTCTGAGGCAGGCAGCCAACCCAGGACTGTTAAGCAGGGTCTGGGAACCTCTGGCTTGATGGCTGGTAAGGCCACTGCCATGCACGTAGCTCACGCTCACTGTGAGGGAGGCCTCACGCCTCCCTAGCCCCTGCACACACCCTTCCAGCCAGTCTCGGCCCTTCTGTGCACTGCCCGGGACTGAGGCGGGGAGGGAGTGGCTGTCCCTAGTCCCTGAAGCATGACTGATGGAGGATGCCAGCCCCTTCTTCTCTAGGCCCAACAACAGTTGGCTCACGATGTGGAATGAGGGACGCAAAGCCAAACACACACGTATTGAGCCCCTATGGTTTGTAGGGCACTCAGGGTACAGGCACAGGCAGCTCCACGTAAACAGAGCTAGGTCTCCTCTCCTCCCACGGTTGGGGTCCGTGCTGGAGCCACCCTGAGTGACAGCATCTGGAATGCGGGGTCCCTGAAAGCCCTGGTGACGTAGCTGTCCTCACGCCTCCTCAGAACCCACCAGTTACCCTGCCTGGTTTTATGGCAGAGCATAAAACATAAAGATTAACAAATGGGGCCATCAAACAAATTTTAAAGTGGAAAAACAAACTGCAGATGGGCAGATAGGATAAGGCAGCGCTTGGGCTTTGTTTCTGGAAAAGGCCACTTCCTAAGCCCCTCCGCGTGACTGTGGAATCAACTACTGCATTTTCCCTCAACAGCATCACAAATCAGGGAGGCAGACCTGGGCCAGCTGGCTGGGCAATGACTCCACTGCCAGGGCCTGTGGCTGGAGGGGAAGATTAGGCCAGGCCCGGGGAGAGAGCCTGGTTAACTCACAGGGGAAGCGCTGAGTGAGTCCAGTGTGGGAGGAGGTGGGCAGGAGCTTTGAAAGTCAGGTGGACAGGACCAGGTTCCCCAAGCCCGCGTTCCCTGGTCTGTAACAGCAGGTAACACCTGAGGCCAGAGGGCCGCTGTGTAGGTTGAGTTGCAAGTGTCAGTAAACCCTTAAGATGCGTGCTTGACTGAGTTGTCCTG